TTATTTAAACAAAGACATATAACGATACAGGTATGAGGTGTGTTGGTCAGTGTGATCAGTGGTGTCCATGTGAATGTGTGTAGTGTGTGGTGTTGTGGTGTTGTGGTGCTGCAAACAAAAGATACGGACTCTGGCTGAGAAGTTGAGCCGAGAGCAGAGCAGAGAGAGTGAGGTGCCGATCAGCCACAGCTTTTAACTCCGTCCATGCACTGGGCCCAGGTGCTCGCGATCAGGTTAATTAAAAGGCTGGATCAGCTGATCACCTTGAAAGAAAAACAGTGACGATGTCGGACACCCATCCACTTACTCAGACCAAGCTTTTCCTAGAGAAACCTCGGCCATTTCCCAGCATACAAGGCACTCATGGATTCAGGCACTCCATTCAGTCGTGAGAAGGATGCTGAAGGCCATGACAGTATTGTTGCTGAAACAACTTGAAATGACAAAACACCAGTCCATCAGTAAAACAAAATGAAGAAAATGTAGTGATTTGCTCCTGCTAGGATTTAAAATATGACCTGTCAGAGTTAGCGCAGCATATATTTCTGACATTTTCTGTGAGTAAAATGTTGATATCTGCTCTTTATCAATGCATTAAAACATAATGACACCACTATAAATATGGTGACTGAGTTGAAGCAAGCATTTATTTAAAAAATCAAATTTAAACACCTTACAAGGAAATTACAACACTGCAAGACTATTTAAGAAGTCAAGAGTATATTTTAGTTTAATCTGACATGACAGAGCATCTTCTTTATGTGTTTGGAGATTTCTTTCACTTTTACTCCATATATAATTGGATTAAGCAGAGGACTGTACAAAACCACTTGTAAACTCATCATTAATCTCACAGTTTTTTGAAAATCCAATTTCAGTTCAGCAATAATGACATCATATGCACACATAGCGGAGAAACTAATTAAAACAAACAAGTGAGGCAAACAGGTCTCTGCAGCTTTCCTCCTAACATCTCTACTGCTTCGGTACGATATTATAAGTATCTTTGTGTATGTAAAAAGTATGAAAAGTACAGGGAGTATTGCAATGTTGACGAACACAACAAAACCATACAATAGTGATACTGTGGGGATCACACACTGAAGTTTTGTCACTAAATTATTGCAATAAATTCCATTCAAAATAAAGCTACAGAGCTTTGTGTGGCTATCCATTGCCAGTGTCACTCCAACTT